ATATATATATATATATATATATATATATATATCAGACCTGGTTTCCGTAAAACGCGTCATCAATTCGCGCGATGCTTACATTAAAACACATGAACATAACGTTGATCGATGAAGTCGCGCAGGTGTTGTGGACGAATACCTTTCGCCATGAATCGATATTTTCTCGGAAGCTCTTTGCCGCCGCATTTTCCGAGTTCACGATGCTTTTATCCATCTCTATCCGGTCACGGAAAAATTCCGCGACCACACGTACTGTCAAATTGACTTGCACTGGATTGAACGTTGAACTCCTTGGACCGTGAATTTTCCATCCAGCGCGACGTTTACACGCACACATTCCACAAAGAGAACGCCAGCGAATTGAAATGATCGTTTTTCTAGTAATAAAATATAAATGTTAATAAAAGATAAATAAAGTTTAAAATAATACAGAAAAAAAAAGACTTAATAAATATCTATGATATAATTTGAATTAGGATTAATTTGAATTGAAATTCAAACAATAGATTTAAAGGCTTAAGCTGGACCAAGTTAAATTTTAATAGATATTAATTAAGTAGGTAACATTAAATTACAAAAAAAGTATACTAAATAATGGAAATGTTATAACAATATAAAATATGACACGTTTCAATCCTTATTGAATCATTTTCAATGTCGTACGATAAAAGATAAAAACACAGGATATATAATTATAGTAAAGTTATAAATAATAAATTTCTTACAATAATTATTGCGATGGTTTCAAAACGGTAACAATTAAGAAAATAATACATCTCGAAAAAAATTGGTAGAAAATCTATTTTATTTTATAAAATACTCTCGAGAATCGAAGTCCCAGCGTCTTATGCTAATAATATTGACGAGAACCTTTTCAATAAATGTACACTTATCGAAGCAAAGAAAAAGATAAAGAAACGAGAAAGGTGAATATGATGAAATTGAAAAAATACCTGGAATGCTTGTATTTTATAAAATGTGAGTGAAATAATGATGAAGAGAAAAGTGTTCTTACTGACGTCAATTATATCGAAATTGACAAGAAAATCTCGAATAAACTTGCGCTCGTATTTCATGAAAACTGTGTGAGAAGAAACGTGCAAACTGATAACAAACTTGAAACGTCAGGAATTTTATGTACTAACAAGGAAAGTTATATTTTTCTTACAATGTGATGTAAGAAAAAATTATCATTTCTTATTATAACTTTCCTTTTATTGATACATAAAATAATATATACCCTGAAAATTTACTAAATCTTAATATATATTTCTTTAAATAGTAAGTATACATTTAGTTACGGTACTAATTAAAGAAATATATATTAAGACTTAGTAAATTTGTTTACCGTGAATAAATATTTGCTCAATAAAAAAGATAGATAGTTAAATTAAATTAGTGATTCTTATATTAAATAAATATATGCTAATCTTAATAAATATTTACTAAAAAATATTTAAAAAAATAAAAATTTAGTATTTTTTAAGTGTATACAGGATCCAGTTATCGCACTTACTTTTTAAGAACGTGTTCTTAAAGGTAATGTAGTGGTTGCAGGATACATAGATATTTCATGAAAGCAATATAGGATCATTAGTGAAATGAATAGGGACATTGATAGGGGACAATAATATGAATGTTCTCTGTCAATGAGGTAATGATGTAGTAGCAAGAAGGAAAGTTACATTGAAATTATGTATATAGTAGATAAGAACCTAGAATATCCGACTAACTCTGCGTTAGCTGATGCGATAATATCACCTTATACAGCTTTACATAACTTTACATTAATTTTGTGAACTTTGTATTTTGCGAAAGCTGCTTACGCACAAGTCACACAAAAATAAATTCTGTAATAATTAATGATACTATTCTGAATATTTAATGATACATCATGTTAAATTCTGAATACATTTTACATAAAACTACACAAAGTTATTAATATCTGTATACAAATTTTAGATATTTATAATAATTCTACATTTAGACATTGACATGCGATTCGTAGCTGGTTGGAAATAAAATTATATAATCTTATTAATTAATTCGCGGGCAAAAAACTCATGTATGCCGTTAGAACGTAGTTCGTGCATATCACGAAGGTCATCTAACAGCTAAACTAATATTAAAAAATAGATTGTACATATGTATATGTCTTACGTGGGATAGGGAAAATAAATTGCTCGCTAGTTTGATGTGATTGACTGTGTTCGCAATATATCACAATCAATATTATAAAGCTCACCTTTACCTTATAGTCGACGCACTCATTTACGCATATCATTTCGTAGAAATTATATAAAAGGCCCGCTTTCTTAAATCAAGCGACGATTGCACTTCAAGGACTGTGTAGCGCGGATTATCGATTAGTCCTATACGTACAAGGCTACCGTTGGTTAATATTAAAGTTCATCTAATCAGCGTGGCTTTTAGATCGATTAAATTTATTTTATAAGTACACAATTCCATTTGTACGTGAGACACGCAAATGGGTCTTGATTGAAAATTACTAATATTTTTTTAATGAATGGTTCTTATTCAATTATTTAGTCACCTGAGTACAATTATTTTTGATACTGTGTGTTTAAGTATCTACTTTCTTCTTTTACAAATTTAGAATCATATGTTTGCCATAACGAAAAATGCTGCATTTTTAATTAAAATTTTGTTATAAGAAAATATGCACCTCGTAAAAAAGTTACATGAAATATTGTAACATACTTTTTAAAATGTATATATCTTATGCTACTTTATGCTGAGAAACAAGGAAAGATTTTTCTACTTCCTTGTTAAGAACTTACAAATTATTATTGCAATAATTAGCTCTAGTAATTGCTCTTCTAAAAATAGCGATAATTTTAGAAAAAAATGGGCACGCAGCAAGAAAATATTACACGTACATGCTATATAGCTTTGATATATCGTCAGTTTTTTGTTATTCTTTTATTAATTACAGCTCGAAGTCCAATACGCATGATGAATCGAATGATTGCGTTACTAGTGGCAGCTGTAATTGCTGTTACAGCTACACATGCGGAAGAGGTACGTACAATAATCAAAATATTGCATATATTAATCCATTTCCGTAATAATACATAAATCATCAAGTTTCCAATGCATTATAATATATGCGAATTATTATCGTGATGAGCGTTGATTATAATTGGTAATATAACATAGTTCTAAATTAGACAGCAATCATTATGCGACATTCGTGCATGGTGATTATAATGCAACGAGCAAATCGGAGGATATATAAGTGCGCTCTTACAGTAAAAAAATTTCATCTTTGAATTATCTCTATATATTAATGTAAAGCTTAAAGAACATTTGGACAATATCTCGAAAGTTATAATTAATTTTATCGGAGAAAATATCATTTTACTTTTTTATTCTCTTATTCCAGTAGTATTTTCGCTTAATTCTTAAAATACTTAAAATAATATTAAAAATAAAAAAAAGTAAAATTATTATATGAAAAATCAAGGATCTAAGGAAAAGTTAATTAAATTAAAAAATTAAAAGTTTTTAAAAGATGATATCTAATTAATTCCTCTTTAAAAAAAAGAAATTTTGTTTTCATTAGATAAAACTGTTTGCTATTTTTCGAAAGCACTACAAGTACTTGTGTTATTGTTAGTAAATATATTGATCGTATCAAATCGATTTGATTAGGAATTGGTGGCAGTCGTCCATCTAATATCGTCATCTCCCTCAAGAAATGTCACGGGTGACTTGAAGATTGTTCAAACTCCCCTGGATGGACCTGTAACTATCACTGGCAAGATCTCCGGACTCACGGAAGGGTCACACGGTTTTCATGTGCACGAAAAGGGAGATTTGAGTGAGGGTTGCAAATCCGCGGGAGCGCACTTCAACCCTGAGAACGTGAGCTCCTACAGTAGCTTATTTTTATACAATTTTCTTGTTAATTGCGATGCATAATAATTAATTCAGAATTAATTAGATACCACAGTTTTGACCACAAGCATAAAGCACTTTCAATTTATTGAATTTTCTTAGAAAATACAGTAAGGAAAGGAGGACTAACAAAATATTAAGACTGTTATGAAAATAAATATTATTTTTCAATAAAATAATTTTTAATTTTTTTGTTAGATATAAAATGTTTATATTAATTTATGGAGATGTTTTATAATATACTTAAGATTAAGACTTCTTTTCTCTTTTTATTATAATGTATAATCTTTAAAAAAATTTTTATTTTTAATAAAATTCTATCTCTTGTTCTTATTTTATAATGAAGTTCTCTGCTTTTTAGCTTCTCTGCTTTATGATAGTTTTTCATTAATACTACTTTTTCAACTACTTCATACTATTAACTTGTTAGAACACTCATGGCGCCCCGGAAGACACTGTCAGACATGTCGGCGATCTAGGAAACGTTGTGGCCAATTCTGAGGGAGAAGCGGTAATAAATATCACTGACAATATCATTTCGCTGAGAGGATCGAATAGCATCGTGGGACGATCCATAGTTATACATTCCGCTGAGGACGATCTTGGCAAGGGCAATCATTCTCTTTCTTTGACAACCGGAAATTCTGGCGATCGCTGGGCCTGTGGTATCGTTGGCATCGAGTAGGTTACGGCTTCATAAATATGTTTCTGTTATTTTTATTTGCGTTTTGTGTTATTAAATTTCTGTATGATTTTTTATATTGACGTATTTTCTTCATATAATATAAAGCTTGCAACCCTTAATTCTCATGTAGCATCTGTCATTCATGATGCAATAATTTTCAGATTTCCGATAAAAACATATTAAGATGTATTAATTTTATTTATTGCTTATTTATCGCTAAATTCTTATATGTTCCAACTTTGTTGTGTAAGTAAATGTTAAACAAAAATATTACTACAGATAACAATGAAAAATATATGTATTTAGTGCAGTAAAAATTCCTAATATCTGACTAGAGATTGAGATTAAAATTAATTGGATTGGCGTTTGACCTACCAAAGCAAAGTTTATTTATTTAATATTGATTTTCTTTCTTCTGATTGGTTAAATTCCAATATAATCTCAATTTCAATCTCTCGTACAGGTGTTAATGACATTTGTAGTATATATTTTATAATATTTCATGTAAATAATATTTCTATTATATATTATATATTATAATAATTATAATATTAATATCATTTATATTAATATAATTAATATAATCCTAATATCTTTTTACGAGAAAAATAAAGTTAAACAGTCGCACCTTACTGTGTTCTGCACATTACAGAAGAATCTGAGGTACTTCGAAGGAAAATGTCAACGGTCGACGGAAGAGAAATAAAAAAGGATCAATATCACCAGTAGATTTGATTAGGAATTTGTCCCGTTTAGAATTGACTCCATATTGTTTAAACGTTATTTTTCGTGTGATTTTTTTCTTTATGAAATGACTTGTATACATTTTATATGATTTGTAAAAGAATTTTGTTGTTTGTATAATAAACTCTGAGAAAAGAATGTAGAATTATAGTAGGATCGACACATGCGCTATGTAAATGTGTTGTAACTTTTTCTCTGTCTGTTGACTCGTAGCGTATCTATGTTTTGTACGTAAATTGTTGATGATACATTAACAAATGTTTTGTTCCTCTGTGTTATTTCCCCAATATATCCCCTCTTGTTTTATGCAATCGCTTTTTTGTGCTTTGATAAGAAAAATATCAATAATATGTTTTTAAAAATATATACTATGCTGTAAGCGCAATATGAAAATGCCTCTATAAATTATTTCACGATCATATATTTAGATCTGAATGATACGCGCATTATATACTTTTGCGTAGTTAAGAGAGAAGCCGATTAATCTGCAATTTTTCTCGGACTATGTTTCCACGCTAATAAAGTAGCACCGTGATAATACTTCAATAATTTATGAGCTTCCTCTGCAAAATACTAATAAAGTCTGGAAAGTTAACATCACCGTTTTCCATAACGATTATTCAAAAGTAATATCTGGACAATCGTATAATAAATATTATAAATGTCTCAACTTGTATTAATCGCAAAAGTTACTAATATATTTTCTCTCTCTTTCTTTTAGAATGCAGTGAAAGATTTACAATCAAAATATATAATTATTAGAAACAAAATATAAAATTTAAAAAATAATTTTTTAATAAACTTAATTTTTAAACATCACGTTATTTAGCATAGAGTCTCAGTTGCACCGACGTTTTTAATGTATATACGTATTTTATGTTTATTTTTTTGTGTCGTTGATCAAAATATATTTGTTGTTTGAGTAATACCAATAAATACTTTCAAGAATGCTTGCAATATTTGTTCTGTTTGTGACTACCGTAACACAATCGCAATACGATTCATATAGAATTTGCAATTCAGATTTATGCGATGTGTTGAAGTGAAGTATGTATTTCATTTAAATGTAGATATACAAATCTCAGGTCTCACCGTGCATTATTGCATTTTGCACGTAATTAGATACGTGACAGACGCACGCAGTTTACGGCGCAAAATTTCGTTGCACTATGAATTTTTCGATTGTCGGAAATGCTGGTAATAACGTCGTGCATTTTGCATAATGTTGCGCAATTCAATTGAGAGTACAATTATCGATTTCTTCAATGTTGTTGCTTCTAGGTCGTCGTACGGGAAATGGAATTCTGGCTCATTTACTACGCCGAGCGTATCGATCCTTGTGATATTCTTCCTCATCGCAGTACATCAACACCTCAAATTCTAACTCCCATGGGAGCTTCAAGTAATTCCGTGTCTTGTACGAAGATAAGTAAATTACATTTGCATCTTGAGCTCACAAATAGCGAAAGCTGCGACTATCGACTATTCGTTAACAATATCAGCAGTAGCAAAATTTTAACTACCGCTATAGAGCGTCGCAGAGTAGCGTTGTGTCAGCAATTCTTAATTATTTTGACGTAAATGTGACTTACTGGCCGGTTACTATAAATCTCATTGCAATAAACCGACGAGTAGTTCGATTTTTTATGTATCGGTGAACATCGAACTATATCAGATTGATATATCGAAAGAGTTTTTCAATCAAGTTTTTTAGTTTAATTTAACTAATAAATAAACAAGGAAAAATTTCATTTATATACATACATATGATTTAATATTATGCAATATTAATATTTAACAATAATACTTACAATTAGAAATATTTAATTCACCATAAGTCTGAACGTAAAATGATTTGTTCGAAACACGTCTAATATAATATATGTACATGCGTAAATGTATTGTGAATTATGTATAACAATTTGCAATTTTGCAACTACTTAATTAATTAATTAATTAAAAACGTATAAAATAAGAATCAATTTATAAGTGTTATTTGTTATAGGATAGTCAGTTTCATTATTTGTATCCTTAATATAATATGAGGCTACAATGTCTTTATATTTGTAACATGCATTTTTTCAAGATCTAGATTTATACATATAATTGTAATTTATTAACAGCTATGTTCCTAGATTTTTAAAATGTATACATGTTAATCGATAAATTCACTTTATTCTATGTACAACTTTTTCGACTGATGTCTCTTTATTGTAAATGTTTGTGTAATAAAGCTGTATTTATTAAAATAAAATTCTTAATTAATTGTAAAAATCATCTTGTTTTCTATTATGATCAATCTCATCTATAATAATTGTATATCTAATTGTAAAATTATTTATTAGTAAATTTTTAAGTAAAAATTGGAGTACGAGTTTAGTGCAAACACAGTTATATGTGTTCAAATTTAAACATTTTAAACTAGAGTATTCAACTTTCTTATGAATTAATTATTTTATTAAGAATAACCACGCACTTATTGCGTTAGACTCTTATACTTTATATTAGTCCTATTCTAATTTTATATTTCAATTTTAAGAGTTTTTTGTTCGTTTAAATCATTAAGATGCTATTAGTAATATTAACATACTCTATTAACTTCACTATATATTGTAATAAATAACATGTAAATATCAAAAAAATTTTTTACGTGGAATACACGATGAGCAGAAAAGTTGGAAAAAAAGGTTTCAGTCATGCAGCGTTGAACTTTAAATTATACCGTATTATCATCAGGTATGTACCATTACGTGCAGCTACCTGAGGAATGAGCGTAATATCTATATTTACCATGTTCTCATTAACCTATATAGGTAGATTTCCATAGTACGGCACGAAACTGCGGATTTACGCGAATCCTAACTGCATGTGAGAAATAAATTTTTCTAGAAGTTGACAGTTCTCTTCTCTTCCTCTGATGGATTTTTGACTCACAAGAACAGGTTACAGTACCACGAAGTGAAGTTAATAGGTACTGAAGAAACGTACTACGTAGAACTTAGTGACTATCCGTCCCAAATTAAGACGAACAGTCCTAAATTTTAACTCTGCATCCCATTTATTACAATGCATCCCAAATTTTGCCTCAAATTAAGGACACGATTATAAATTGTTGCTCTTTTAAGTCTGACTGAAATTTCGGTTTCGGTTTCGGTCGAAATTAAAAGAAAATTTTGGTGGATAAACGAAACTATGCAAGTTGCAACGCGCCGGTGAGGGTTCAAGAAATTGTTCGATTTTAATTATTTACATTATTTAGTTGATTAAGTTTAAGACTATTTGATACAAACTTTGATGCGATCTTAATAATAACTGTGATTTGATTTCTTTAAAAGTTGAGGATGAAATATTATTATATTATTATAGTTAAATATTTTAATAAAATTTTGTTTTTTAAAGAGTACATAAATTTGTCATTTCTGAAAATCATACGTCTCTGTAAAATTAATCCAAAAATATCGATTTCGTGACTCCGACCGAAAAAAGTGTGACTCCGTTAGCTCCTCTCTCTCTCTCTCTCTCTCTCTCTCTCTCTCTCTCTCTCTCTCTCTCTCTTTCTTTTTCTCTTTTAGTAAAACTTATCTAATTTTCGATTTTAATTTCATCGAAATTAAATAACAACGGAATATTCATTTTCAGTTTCAATCGAAGATCAAAATGTGGTTTGGTCGGACTCTATTTTTAAGTGTAAAAATAATAAATAAAAATAATAGATATGTAATATAATTTTCAATTAATAAGTGAAGAATTTTCTGATTTTTTTTAATTTTAAAAACCAAATATTCATAAAATACATTTAGTAGAAGTATACAATTTTTAAAATTAAAATATGCTCTTATAACTTGACGTAATTTTTGTTGTGATCTCATGTGATGTTATACTCTAAGTATTATCACAAATATAATAATTTTATATTGGTTACGTTTTGTTAGCAATTATATAAAAAATGTTTATTAAAATTTAATTATGACAATTAATATTAAATTTTTTAAAATGTCTTTCTTTGTCTTTAAGGAGTTGGTCATCTTAACGTAGATGCCTATCAGATGGATCGAATCGTGAAAACAAAAACTCGTCGGTGTGCTCGTAAATAAGTCGCCTGTAACCTACTTTGCACGTTCTACTGGGTATATGTAAATAATGTGGCATTATTGAACTGTGAGAGACTTTCGTTTAACGCGATGCTCACGCGCGGTTTGTCTAATTTCTGATAAAATTATGGCGGATTGCATTCGTCCGTGGAAAATGCTTCACGCGCAATACAATTCTAAGTAATGCATTTGGAGTTAGGTAATTGAAATATTTGTATGGAATAACATTCTGCCGTTCCATAAATCGATGAAATAACATGCACTAATTGTCACTCGTATGAGAAAAATACATTGTTAAATTTATAACGTCAAATTATACCCAATTTCTTATTATTTCTTATTATAATTAAAAGTTACTTTTAATCGTTTTTATTTTATCATTCATTCATTTTTATTCAATATTAAGGGTATTTTAAAGACGATTAGTCATCAGTGTAAAATAGGACTTACACATATGTTACATACAATTTACGTGTCACTATACACATCACTATGTATTACTACTACAATATCTCATGTACACATACATATAAATTTTTGTATAACAATAATGTTTTAATTAGACGTTTTAATTAGACATTTAAATCCAATTCTACGTTCGAACTCCACGTTGTTTCTCTGTGCAAACTACTAGTTTGAAGATTACTATTTCGTAAATACAAATTGCACAGCTTTTATATAAAGCAAATGTCGTTATGATATATTGTATATCTCACAAACATATATTAATGGATATATTTTAATCCTAGAAAAGGATTTTCAAATCTGTAAAACAGGAAAAAAGTAATTATTATATAAAAATTGTATAGTTAAGGGCCATTGCATCAATGTCACTCTGATTTTAAGCGAGACTTCAAACATTATTTGTTTCGTTTTAAAGCTAAAAAGAGACAGAGAGACAGAAAGAATGTTAAGTCTCACTTAAAACAAAGTAATGTTAGTGCAATCGGGCCTTAATGGGTAATACAGATAGCTTTAGGATTCCCTTAATTAAAACAATGGAATTAAATTAAAATAAAAATAATTTATTTCTTTTATTTTAAAATGATGAAGTTAAAAAATTTAATTAAAAAATGTATTAAATTTGACTCAAAGGATCTTGCACTAATCATATATGAAATTGACTCCCAATGAAATCAATTTTCTTCATATATTGTAGCTTATGATTTGCTAAACAAAACATATAAGGTTTAAAGCAAAAAAGTGAAATTTTCGTATTTGATTCACCTATAGTCGCTAACTTCTTACTATAAAATATTCAATAACTGAATGGCTGATTCAAAGTGGATAAAGTTATAGTGCTTTGAAAAGATCTCAACAAGTACTATATAAAAGAAAAAAGAAGTGGGGGATCTCGTTTAAAAAGTCCGAGATGACTTTGCCCTGACCTTAGCCAAACCTTTGCCACCCAAAATCAAACTGATGAAGCTAATGACTAAATCTTTTTCATGCATGTTTTTTATTTTTTTGATGTGCTGAATTATGTACAAACGTTAATTTCAAGTTAAACTAATAGGAAAATATTGAAAATTGCAATCAAAGATTAGATTTTGACAAAATTATGATACTTTTATGTTAATGCGATTTTCAACATGTCCCTATTAGATTAGATATTGATTCAGTACATTAAAACATACAAGAAAATGTGCATATAAAAATGTTTTGTCGCTTAGAGCAAAAATTCAGTAATTCTGCCCATCCTCTCCTTTCAATATAATTTCAGTAATATTTCATTATTGTTTATTACAATTTCAGTAAAACATTTCCATCAATTGAGTTACCATTGTTTCTTTGAAACGTGACAATGTAATATTAATAAAATTATATATATGACCAAATGAGATAAATTTCCGGAGAAGAGAGATTAGTAAATGAAGAATATAAAATTATTTGTCAATAAATTAATAAATCTTATTAATAGTATTAATATTAGGTTAAGTAAAAAGTCATCGCGTTTTTTTAAAAGACATCTATCAGTAAAAACCGCAATTACTTTCTTACCAACAATATAAATATATCTTGATAGAGTAAAGTTTCAGCTTTAAAAATCTCTTTTTTAAATTATACGATACGACAATTTTTAATGGAGTTATGAGCAATTAAAGTCAAAATAATTCTTTTATTTAATCCGCGATAACTCAGTAATCAAAAGTCGTAGGAATATTAAAAAAAAACGATTTTGTAGGGAAAGTATCAAGCTTTCATGATACATAATCGAAAATTTTCTCAAATTCGTTTTGGGACGTTACAAATCCACAAAGTGAGAAGAAAATTTTTCGTCTTTTTCAGCTCGTAGTTTTTGGTATGTAAAAATTATCAAACTCATATAAACTTAAAAAAGGTGATAAGCTTTTAAAAGTAGAGATTTTAAGCTAAAAAACCTTTTTTTAAATTTGAATTTCATTCATTATTGACGAAGATATTGTATATACAACTTTGAGCTAAAAAATACGCGATGACTTTTTACTCAACCTAATATATTAAATATTTCTTAAAACAATACAAAAATTGCTTCTAATTATTCAACTGCATAGATAACGTAATGAGATATTAATTAAAGCATCGATCGTTTGAAATTGTTCATTATATCAG